TTCTTTCCTGGGATCACTCAAAATGAATACTTCTAAACATGTAAATATGCATCAGCACACGTTATACAAAGGCCTAAAAAACACATAGGCCTAAGCGTGATTTAAAAATACCTTAAATCCAGAAGTCTCAGGCCAGGTCTTTTAACATAGAAATGCGATACTGTGGTTCAATTTCGTTTTTATCCTTTTGCAAGTTTCTTTTAATGTTTGTTTAATAATACTACTACTACTAGTCGTAGTAATAATAATAATAATAATAATATTAATAATAATAATAATAATATTAATAATAATAATAATAACAATGATGATGATGATGATGATGATGATGACGATAGTAATAATTGATAATAATATTAATAGCAATAAAAAGAAGAAAATTGTGCAAAATGCGAAAAAAGTAGTGATTTGTTGATCATACTATAGTATATATAGTTAAAGCTTAGTAATCTATAATTAGGCCTAAGTTGTCCTGGATATTAAGTAGATCCTTGATAAAAGATCATGAGAAATTTGTTGGTGTTTCATTTTGACTATAATAGTAATGTGATGATGATGAATTTTACTATATAAAACTGTCATTTCCGGCCATCTCGAGAGGTACTATTTCCTCAAATTTTCTCACCTCAGTCCCAGCCATGGTGGGGCTGAGGTGGTTGTGAAATCACGTTTTTGAAGTAGGCCTATGTAAAGTAAATACTCAAAGACAATGTTTTTAAGCTTTGTTTTCTGTGGTATACATACACACACATTAATAAGATACCTATGGTTGTCAAAAATCCCTGATAAAAGATCATGAGAATTTTCATGGCACTTCATTTTGACTAATGGTGGTGTGATGATGATGAATTTTACTAAAAGTGTCATTTCTGGCCATCTAGAGGTACTATTTCCTCAAATTTTCTCACCTCAGCTCTAATCATTGTGGGGCTGAGGTGGGTATCGACTCACAAAATGCCCTCCCCCTCCACCTTTCAAAACAGGTCTGTGCCCTTCCCTGGGTATGACATTAAACTCCATCGAATCGGCTCCTGATGTATGTCTTAGTGTTTTTAGGATGTGATCTGGTTTTTCATGTCCATTTTTCGTGATTATGACTATTCTAGATAAAGAATGTTTTGAGCAGAGGTGGATTTCCCCCTCCCCTTCATTTTTTAAGGGAAAAAAAAGAAAAATATATACAAATTGAAGTGCAAGAGTGTAATTTCCGGCCATCTAGAGATGCCCTAATCGTAAATTTTCTTACCTCAGCCCCAACCATGGTGGGGCTGAGGTGGGTGGTTCCTCGGTCTTATTTTTATACCTCCTTGGTGAAAGTCCCTCCCTGGTTTACCTCTCTTTCGAATTCCTGGATCTGCCACTGTTGATTTATTACATAATTATTTTTGCGCTTATTTACAATGCGTCTATTGCAATTTTCAATTTATCCTCTCAAACAGTCCTAAGAACGTTCAGAGTGCGCTACTTCACAGGGGGATTCGCCCCTTGACCCCGCTGGGGTCCTACGTAATTTGCATAACGGCTCCAATCCTGGCTACGTCCCTGGTTGATGTTACTAATATTCAAGTTAATTGCCGTCATGTTACTACACTTAAGTTTATTGAAAAGTTCGCTCGTACCGATGCTTACAAATTTTCCCCATATATTCATTTTAGTAAACTTTTTGAATTCCCTCCCTGATGAAGTCAGATGCTCCTTGCTTTTCTCGAGCAACTCTTTCATTAAACTTGCAAAAATATTTTTCAACAAAAATTTTGAGATTCATTAATTCCGTATGTGCCTGTTTGATCCTGATTTTGCATCGTGGTCACTTGATAATTATGAGATCTCTTGCAATATTATTTTTTATTACATTCTTTTAATCTTATATTTTTCTAAATGATATCTATTATATCTTTTGTGTTGTTTTCTGTGTGTTGAGTGCTGCCTTGGAGAGCCACATGATATTGGCACTTTTGTGTACTTTTGGTTATCCTGGGTTGGCAGCACTCTTTGTTTTTGTTCCTGTTTTTATTGTCTTTTTTATTGTAATTTTGATTGTAATTTTAACCCGAAATAAATTTGAATTTGAATTTTAAAAATGTGTGCATCCAATTGTTGTCCCGCCGCAATTGCATTCTTACCAACAAACGGTTAATAGTTCCACCGTTTTGGGGGTTTTTTTTCCCCTAACTTCTGATTCCTTCTTGGTAACAGATTTCTATTAATTTTGTTTTAATACCATATTTTTCTTCTACTTTTTCGTTTTTTTACGTTTCTTTTCATTTCTTTTCATTCTTATCTTATTCCATTCTTTTCCTATCCTTTTCGTATCCTTTCGTTTACTTTCTTTTCCTTTCTTTTTTTCTTTTCTTTTCTTTCCACTTCGTTTTCTTTCTTCTCATTCCTTACCATTTTTTATCTTTCTTCTCTTTTTCCTTCCCCCCACCCTTTTCTTTCCTTTCCTTCAATTCTGTTCATGTCCTTCTTTATTTTGTTAACCTTTCATTTTCTTTCTTTTCAATTCTGTTCATTTCATTTCCTTTTGTTTCTTTCATGTTCTTTCTCTTACTTACCTTTCTTTTTCTTTCATATATATATAT